GGTATGGTGTTTTTGGGCTGATGTGCAGTGCCATTTGACCTCCAAACATGATGTGTATTCTGGCATCCAAACAGTTTTCAGTACTAGTATGTGTTAAGTACTTTTTACCTGTGCCATTCCACATTATTACAAATAACTTCATTTCTGGACATTTATGGTTTGATTTCTTTGTAAGTATGGATCACTTGGGTGTTACCGACATCTGGTGAAAATTTCACGTCATTAGCACCTCTAGTAATATATTTACTGAGAAAAATGTTGACGTGTTCAATACTTATTTTACCCGCTGTAAGTTTATCAAATACTATGTAACAATACATCGAAAGGCATTGATAAATTSATTAAATAATTAAGGCAAAATGAAAACAYTGATCCATATCATCATTATATGTCCGATGTGAATTGAAATCTGTGTTAGACAGGCTTGTGATATTGCATCAAATGGATCATCAACTTGTGAAATGAACTGAATCAAAATCGTATAACTGACAGACTTTGTGAGATCAAAAAAACGTATYGTTRTCCAAACAAATCGATATATCGTRATTATTTATTTACTGTTATTTAACAGGAAAATCCCACTGAGATCGCAGATCTCTTTTGCAAGGGAGGCCTGAGCCTGAAGGCAACCTATTGTATGTATTTTTGTGATAAAGCTGGTGATTTACACTTGTATTATATACTYTGTGTCCTCTGCTGTCATTGTAGGAAGCATTAGGTGATGTGGTCTACTGTGGACTCCCAGAAGTTGGTCAAAGGTTTGATAAAATGGGTAAGATCCCAGAGTGTTTACGTTACGTTCAGTGGTGTTTGTAGCAGCGTGATGAGACGTTTCTGTTGTTGTGTGCATTTCTGTTGTAGATGAGTTCGGTGCTTTAGAAAGTGTAAAGGCTGCCAGTGAGCTATACTCACCGCTGACAGGAGAAGTGACTGAGATCAACACAGAGCTGGCAGAAAATCCTGGACTCGTGAACAAAGCTTGCTACGCAGAAGGTGAATGGTGAATGTTCATAAACCTGCTCTTGTTTGCTGGGAGCATGTTCTAACTGAATCATGCCACAGCTTGTTTTATTTAATACAAGTTACTTGTCTTTCAGGGTGGCTAATAAAGATGACGATTGAAAAACCTGAAGAACTGGACGAACTTATGGATCAAGCAGCTTATGATACATTTCTTAAATCATTGGAAGAATAAATCAACAAACTAAATGTAATGATCTGTTATGTGATTGCTGTAAAAGATTAGTAACTAACATCTAGTGTAACCTTTATCTTCTTCTGATGGTATTTATTTTAATACTAAATATTGTTTTAGTAAAACTTAAAGACTTGTTAGGATTTGTTTAACCACTGGTAAAACTTAAACAGCTCTTGTGCTAAAAATCTGTCATGAGTATCAGGTCATGTTTGTGGTGCTTTTTTTTACATCGTAAAATGTGCACAGGCGCGATGAAATGACGGACATGACTGTCAAAATCGTTTAATAAAACATTTTTTTGGGTCTTTAACTTAATGTGTTTAGAATTATTTATTCTAGAATCCAAGCTTAAAATATATTCACCCTGCAACATTGTTGCCAACTACAGTAAACATGCAGGAATGTTGAGCGTTGTCCATTACAGCCTGATTTTATGCTTCACACAAATTTGCTCAAATCTTGTCAACGGTACACTTGCTGACAAGGCATGAAGCTTCATAGTTCTGTGCACCTTGACCTTTGCCCTCAGCTAAAGATGGGCTGATTGCAGGATTTAGTTAATGATTAATCCAATAGAAGCTTTAAAACATTTGACTGAGAATCAAAGATGTGTGCAGGCCTTCATTAACTCCATAAAAAAGCTTTTTCTACATACATTTTGATCAGTTGAGACCACAGACTTACAGAGAAATTCTGGCAGAGCTGGTGGCTGCACCTGTAGGAATTTGGTCAACTTTGCAATAAAAATGAGCAAACATCTTAATAATCACTGGAATAACCAGGTAAGATGAAGAGCATTGCATTCACCAAAGGAAAATAAAATGCTGATCTCATATTTACAAGAACCAGATCTCTGTTTAACGTTGATTCTTAATTAAACTAAACATTGTTGTTCATCATGGAGATGTCTGAAGTAGTTTTGATAATAAAAAAAATATTTTTGTGATTAAACTTTGATTAAACAGTAGGCTATGAGCTCTGTTTAGAGTGGCTCATGACAGGGCTCATTTCAGTATCAACTGCACTTTTTAAGGGACAGATTATTTAAATCATGCCTCGTACCAAACAGCAGACAAGCACCGTTATTTCTCATCAAGTCATAGAATAGTTGTAAAAGTGTCTGGTCAGTGTAGAGATGATCCTACGATGCCTTACCCCAGGGGAGTGGCCAGACCAAGGGCATAACTTTGTGCTGAAATTTGGTGGGGACGCACCCACAGTTGTGCGACCAGGTGTTTCTGTTGTTCACGTCTTCAGTGTGTGCTCAGTTTAACTGTCTGCACCCATCAACAACTGAACACCAACTGTTTCTGTTGTGATGCAATAATACTCAAACCATATTAAATGATATTATGTTCACCATCATTCAACCGTGTACTGTATCAGCCCTTTAAACTCACTAAGAATACAGTTTGACAATCAGCCATAGTTTCATACAGAGACACACAGGTGGAGCACAGGTGTGTTGGTTTATTCGCTCACATAACAAGTCTTATAACAGTAAAGGACACACTGGATAAATTAGAAGCTATTTCCTGATTTCTAATGTATTTTAACAGGTTGTTAAAGATACTT